CAATTAAGTTCGCAAACTTGCCACCGTGCACTGACATTGGCAGCACTGTACAAACAGCTCGGGAAGATTTCATAACCTTGGTGTATCTGTGTCTCACAGCTGTGTTCATGTCGACGTGTGGGTGTCTTGCTGAGTGGCGTTCATTATTGTTGTTGCATGTTTTTGTGAGCCGTCACAAGAATGTCTGAGCTTGAATTAGAGTGACAAACAAACATTAAAGTTCTTGTTAAACTTAGCAAGAGTGGAAGTGAAATCAGGGACGTGTTAGTCCAAGTTGCTGGGGATAATGCCATGAAGAAAACGTTTTTCTGAGGGGAGAGAACTCATCACTGATGAAGAGAGGTCAGGGCAGCCAGTAATGAGCAGAACTGATGAAAACATTGCAAACATTCATCGAATTGTGCGTCAAAATCGTTGGCTGACTGTGAGAAGCATAGCAGACCAAGTAAACATCGATAGAGAAACAGGAAAATCTTAACTGAAAATCTTGGCGTGAGGGAGGTGTGTGCAGACATGGTCCCAAAGGAGCTCTTACATCACGACAACGCACCTGCTCACACGGCCCTGTCGGGAGGGGGTTTTTAGCCAGGAAACAAATAACTATTGGAACATCCTCTCTACTCACCTGATCTGGCCCCCAATGACTTCTTTCTTTACCTGAAGATAAAGAAAATATTGAAAGGAAGACATTTGGATGACATTCAGAACATCAGGGTAATATGACAGCTATGATGGCCATTCCAGAAAAAGAGTTCCAAAATTGCTTTGAAGGGTGGACTAGGTGCTGGCGTTGGTGCATAGCTTCCCAAGGGGAGTTCTTCGAAGGTGACTGTAGTGACATTCAGCAATGAGGTACTTTTTCTAGCATGAGTTTGGGAACTTAATTGTCATACCTCGTATGCATAAGTTGACAGATATTTGAGTTGTTTCCATTCTTTGGTAATTGTGAATAGTACTGCTATGAGCATTTGTGTACTATATTTGTTTGAGCACCTGTTTTCAATTCTTTTGTATGTATACCTAGGAGTGGAATTGCTGGGTCATGTGATAATCCTGTGTTTTACTTTTTAAAAAAGATTTTTATTAGTAATACAGCTAACATACAATATATTAGTTTTAGGGGTACACAATAATTATTCAACATTTATATACCTAAAGAAGTGACCACCATGATGTAAGTCCAGCAACCATCTGACACCATACCACACTATCACAATATTATTGACTATTTCCTATGCTGTACATTACATCCCCATGACTATTTTGTAACTTTTTAATCCCTTCATTTTTTTCACTCTATCGCCCAACCCCCCTCCCATCTATCACACTGAAATCTAATACCCATCCGACACCATACATAGTTATTACAATTTTATTGACTATGTTCCCTATGCTATACCCTACACACCCATAACTATTTTGTAACAACAAATTTGCACTTCTTAATCCTTTCCCCTTTATTTACCCACACCCCGAAGTCCCCTCGCATCTGGCAACTATCAAAATGTTTTTTGGGGGCCGGCCAAGTGGTGCGATGGTTAAGGGCTGGCTTGGGACGCCAGAGGGCCCCGGTTCGGATCCCACATGTGAGGGCCAATGACACTGCCTTCTACAAAAACAAAAAAAAAATGTTTTTTTGTATCTATGAGTTTGTTTCTGCTTTTTGTTGTTGTTGTTATTTTGTTCTTTAGATTCCATATATAAGTGAAATCACATTGCATCTGCCTTTCTCTGTGTGATACTCCACTCAGCACAATACCCTCCAGGTCCATCCATGCTGCTGCAGATGACAAGAACCCTTTCCCTTCCATGGCCGAGAAATATTCCATTATATATATATACCACCTCCTCTTTATCAATTTTTCCATCAACACCAGGCTGCCTCCACACCTTGGCCATTGTAAACAATGCTGTAATGAACATATGGATGCACAGGTCCCCTTGAAGCAGCATTTTGGTTTTCTTTGGATAAATACCCAGAAATGGGATTACTGGGTCCTTTATTTCTGGTTATAGCCTTTGTTTTAAAGTCTGTTTTGTCTACTATAAGTATTGCTGCTCCAGCTTTTTTGTTTGTTTGTTTCATTTCCATTTTCATGAAATAACTTTTTCCATCTTTTTACTTTCTGTTTGTGTGTGTCTTTCGATCTGAAGTGAGTTTTTTGTAGGTAGTATATGTAAGCGACTTGTTTTCTTATCCATTCAGCTCTCTTATGTCTTCTGATTGGAATATTTAATCCATTACATTAAAAGTAATTGTTGATAGATATGTAGCTATTGCCATTTTATTATTCATAATTTTGATTTTTTTTTCTTTCCATCTTGAAGTCCCTCTAACATTCCTTGTAAAGCTGGTCTGGTGGTGATAAACTCCTTTAGCTTTTTCTTGTCTGGGAAGCTCTTTATTTATCTGATTTTAAATGATAGCCTTTCTGGGTAGAGGCCCTTTTTTGTATGTCCTTACTTTTCATCACATTGAACATTTTGCACCAATCCCTTCTGGCCTGCAAAGTGTCTGTTGAGAAATCAGCGGACAGTCTTATGGGATCTCCTTAATAAATTATTAGTTGCCTTTCTCTTGCTGTTTTTAAGATTCTTTCTTTGTCTTTAGCCTTTGCCATTTTAGTTATAATGTGTCTTGGTATGGGCCTGTTTGAGTTCATCTTGTTTGGGCCTCTCTGCACTTCCTGGACTTGTATGTCTATTTCCTTTACCAGGTTAGGAAAGTTTTCAGTCATTATGTCGTCAAATAGGTTCTCAATCTTTTACTTTCTCTTATCTCTTCCTGGAACCCTTATGATGTGAATGTTGTTATGCTTAATGTTGTCTCAGAGATCTCTTAAGCTTTCCTCAATTTTTTGGATTTTTTTTTCTTTTTGCTGTTCTTATTGTGTGTTTTCTGCTACCTTGTCTTCCAAATTGCTGATTTGATCCTCTGCTTCATCTAGTCTGCTGGTGATTCATCCTAGTGTATTCTTCACTTCAGATATTGTATTCTTCACTTCTGACTGGTTCTTTTTTATGGTTACTATGTCCTTTTTTTTTTNAGATCCAGTCTCCTTGGCTCCGCCAGCGCCCTAGGCCATGAGGATTTCGATGTCCAGCTCCAGCCGGCTGGCTCTGACCTCATAGCGGCCCTGGATCAGGCCTCGGGTTTGGCTTGCATGCCAGCGCCAGTGAGCCTGGAGGACGCAGGCCGCTTGGCGAGCCCGGAGGAACCGGCTGCGGGCCTGCCACATGCGAACACGTGCCTGTACCTTCACCACTGCCCACTCCTGGCAGGTGTAGAGTCTGAGTGCCAGGCGCCGTCTCTGCTCCAGCATCTTGGCCTGCATGGACCTCCACCAGCACTGGATGACCCAGGCCCTGAGTGCTGTGTGCAGTAGCGCCTGACGCACCGCCTTGCCGCGCCACCATGACTGAATCGTTAAGGCTGCCTTTTCTAACTGATGGGGGGTGGGGGGGGAGGAAGACCACACAGACGCTCAGTGGGGCGCCCTTTTACTCCTACCTCCGCCTCTGGTGCTGGGAGGAAAGGGAGCCTGGCACTTCCAGGCCCATCCATGTTATTTTCAACCTCCCACTCACTCACCCTTAGACACTGCTCATTATCCTCTGGGCAGATCCCTCCTGTACTGGCCTTAATCAAATTTTGTGTATCCATGGCCCTGGTCTTCAGAGTCCACTCATCTATCAGTCAGGCCACCCTAGTCTTCAGCCCCACCCTCAACTGTTAGTCACCGCCCCCCATCACTAGGCTCCGCCCACCTGCACACAAAGCTACTCTCTCTCATCAGGTCCTGTCCGTCCACATTTTAGCCACATCTCTTTCTCTCCCCCTCTTCTCGTGCTTGTGTCTCCTCGTGGATTAACCAGTCACCTTACTTATTGATTCTTAGCATTTTGGGGGGCCCTGCCATTATCTCTTGCCTTCAGTAGATTTCTCAGTCCCAGCTGGTATCTTAAGTCTTGCTCTTTCTACACCTCCCAGTCATTTTATGTCTGTTCCTGACGGTGACAATGAAGAGAGAGTCACAGGGCTTACCTCCAAGTAAGGGGCGCTACTTTAGGAATACTCATCACCAGTGTGGATTTCCGGAAACTGAAGTGTCAGAGCCCATAGGAGAAGCCAAGCAGTCTGGTCATGGGCTACTATGTGTTTGTGTAAAACTGGTGAAAACAAGAGATTCGAACTGCACCTGGGGAGGCCTCTGTCTTCCCCTCCCGGCTCCTGTTACCCTTCTCCTGTGGGGTGTGGAGTGGCCACACCCTCTTTTAGGATAGGCCTAACAGGAAGCTAAGTGAAGATATACTTAGTTTAGGTTAAATGGGGCAGATTTATGTGGTTCACAGTCACCCTGGGAATAGATAAATTCTCGCTAGCCATTCTGCCAGAAATGGTTTCCAGGAGTACTCCCCCCAGTTACCACGTCCATCCACCCATGTTGTGGTATGAAGATACGGGGACAGGAGTGCTGCTATGGTTGCACGGACATGCTCTACAGTGTCCGGCACCAGAAGTAGGTATATGGGCAGGGGAGGAAAAGCAAAGTTTGGAAAGTATGGAGATAGAAGCTCATCCATAGAAAATTCTTTCTGGTATCAGACATGTAAGACCGTAGTGGAAGATTCTGTTCTCGCTGATGCCTGATTAAAATGGAAGTTCTGTCTTGTCAGGAATACAATGATAATGCAGTAAGACAATTATAAACATACCATATTTTTATTTCTTGTTTGGGTGTGAATTTTGTGAACTGGGATTTGTGAGAATTCCTGTGATGGCCGGGCTCCAACCAGTGGAACTGCTGTGGACAGTGTGGAGGTAGGCTGAAGAAATCATGTTTTATGCGTCCTGAGTTGTCCCTAAGAAACACGCTTCTATAGAAAAGGATATTTTCAAAATCATCATATGAAGAAGCAATCAAAGGTTATGCAGCTAAAAATGCAGGGAAAATATTATAGAGGTGAGACAGTTAGCTAATATGAACATTATGGTATGTTTCGTGTTTGCCAACTTTTAAAAATTTGTAATTTGCTGCAATATCTTTACTCATCCTAAAAGACCCATATTCACTTGCCTAATTTTACATCTGGAATTTGGTATTCGTCGTCTTAGGGTAGGCCTTCCAAGTTACATAAGCTTCAGGTCCCCACAGAACCTGGATCTGCTGTGCGGACACAACTGTGCAGCCAGGTCTTCTGGGAGTCCCACACACACACACACACACACACACACACACACCGTCCCCTGCCAGAGCTGCATTTCTAGATTCTGAGTTAGGACTAGAACTTCAAGCACAGGCGATGCCAAGGTGCCGGGAGTCCTTTGGGATTCAGAAGGCCATCCTGGCTCTGACTTTTAGCATGCATGTTATCACTTATTTTTCTGCACGAGGCTTTGCTGAGTGCCCAGTGCCTGTGGGGCCACGCACTGTCTGTGGTTACTGCTTAACTGTTATGGCACTGTCCGTCGGAGTGTCTTACAGGTTCTGGCCCTATGGTTGACCAAGTAGCCTCTTTGCATCATGTTAAAAGTCCTTGAGAGTGGACCCTATTGCTTCCTTTAATGACTGTCAATCTGGGTGGCCAGTATCAGCCATCTCAAAGGCCTCTATTGCTGCATTAAACCGTGGGTCCTGGCGTCCAGCCTCCACTCCCAACCCAGTCTGCTGTATTCAGCAGAAGGGACCGCTTAGAAGGGGGCTGTGAATGTGGTCAGCGCTCTGAGGCTCCATCCCTCCAGGCCAGGTGGCCATGGTCAAGACGCTAGATCCCACTGTTCCTTGTGGATGTCCCTGCTCCCCAACTCTGGCCTGGCTGGTTTTTGCCAGACTATCCTGGCTTTGTCTCCTTCTTAGAAGCCCCTGTAAACACCTGGCAGTCCCTTTTGTGTGTGCGCTTTTGCAGTTATTCACAAAGTGACAGCAGATGGGGGGAGGGGTAAGTGAAGTCCCTGAATCCTACTAAGTCACTTCAGTTCATGACGCTTCCTCATTGTTTCATCCCCCCTTCACCACCAGCTTCCAGATTTCTTCTTCTTGACTGATTTTTTTTTTGTTATAAATATACTATGCCTGTTGCTAAAATTTTAAATAATGCAGAAACATGTGAGTTGGAAACGGAATTCCCCATGAAATTTGTCCTAGAGGATATACCATGCACAGACTGACTGGCATTTTTGATTAAAAATAATTTCTTTTTAATTCATACAATTCAGACTAAAAATATCCTTGGTGATTAATGTTTTCTCCCCTATGTTATTACTGCTTCCAGCTTGGAGGTTACCATGGACAATTAGCTATTCATTTATACACACAGTACATCCATGCACTGAAAGAAATATAAAACTGCTTTTGTGTGTTTATATGTTGCTTTTCAAATTGAGGTAAAAATCATATAACATAAAATTGACAATTTTAACTATTGGGTTGCCGGAAAAGTCATGATGTATTTTTTCTATGTTTTTGTTGCAAAAATACGTCATGACTTTCCTGACAACCCAATATTTTAAAGTGTACAGTTCAATGGCTTTTAGTACGGTCACAATGTTGTATAACCACCACCACTATTGGATTCCAGTTTCTAATTTCATTTCATTTTAATTCTACTTTTGTCACCCCCAAAAGAAACCCTGTACCCATTAAGCAGTCACATCCCATTTCCCTCACCCCAAGCCCTGGCAACCGCTAATCTGTGTTTAGACTCTACGGATTTGCCTATTCTGGATATTTCATATAAATGGAATTTTATAATATATGGCCTTTGTGTCTGGCTTCTTTCACATAGCATGTTTTCAAGGATCACCCGTGTTGTAGCCTGTATCCTCTTTATGGCTAAGTGATATGCCATTGTATAGATATACCACACTTTGTTTATATATATATATATATATATATATATATATATATATA